CTGAGCTCCACCAAGATCAAAAGCCTGCTTGTGTACAAGGCTTCCCTCCCCCTTGGTAGGCAGTCTTTCTGAAAGAAGGTGATTAAATGACAAATTATTCTTTGGAGGTACAAGTGCTGGGGCTGCTGTGTTGCTTTGGTTGGATCTGATCCTTTCACCCTTACATTAGTGGTCCCAGTGAAGCCACTGGGTTAGGCTCTCGCCTTTGAGCCTAGGGAGCAGGTCGGAGCTACGATCTCATTTCCATGGCCAAACATGCAAGCAGCTAGCCGGGTGCTGCTCTCAGCACAGATCCTGGCCAAAGAGGGTGGCAATGGTGAGCAACGCCTAATCGGCTTCTACTATCCTGGCTGTTGAAATGATGCCTTGAAACTCTGGCTCAGCTAGGCTTGCTTTAGAGAATGTCTGGTTCAAGTATGCCCAGGGACTGAAATGAACCATTCCCATCTCCATTCTGGGTCACAGGACTAAAGAGGAGTAAAATCCTTTGCAGCTCCTCCTTCAATCCACTGCACTGTGTAGTTTGCCCAGGCCCTAAAGTTTTGGGGATACTTGGTTGAGTGAGGAATACAAAATCTAACTACCATATCCAGCTTGTGACTTTGAATTAGCTTCTGGGCACATTTGTGACTCTGATACAAAGAGAAATCTTGCAAAGACTGAAACGCGTTCCTAAGTCCTACTTGCTTCTCATTTTCTGGCAGATACCTGCATAATGTGACAATTTTTCCTTCATCTCTAACCATATATAGTGATCATAGTAACTATACCTCATCCATATACCAAATCTCTTGATTAGGATTCTCAGGGTGTATCATTTAATTTTCCCACCATCCCTAAACTGACCAATCTTTGTCTCATTGTCACCTCATTGTCACTTCTCAATTAAAGAGTTAACAAAACTGAGATAAGATTATTTGGGACTACTTATTAATTATTGTGTACTGCCCCAAATGTGCCATGCTCACTGACAGCGCAAAACATGTTTTTGGTGCTATTTAAAAACTCGCAACCCTTTTTCAGCCAAAAACATCAATCTTATCCTTAACACAGCTACCAGTCAGGTTGGTAGAAGAATAATTAGGGCAGGCACAGTTGACACCTGAGGTGAAGCAACAAATCGAAGTTACGACTAGAATCTAGAAGATATTACCCTAAAAAAATCACAAACATAATCTTAAAGCAAATCCTATTTCCTTTGTGTTTGGAGCAAGCAACTGAAATTTGTTATTTTCTTTGTAATTGTCTTGCAGTTTCTGTATATCTCTGCAGACAAAAGCATGTCACATCTGAAGCACTCTCATTCTCTAGCAGGTTGAGAAAACAGAGAAGTAGGACACATCTGAACTCAGCTTTCCAAGTTCAGCCACTCCTTATGCTGTTTTAAGCCCCATGAGCATTTTCCTTGCTGTCATATGGGGGTACATATTTACAATTACAGAGACAGTGTTTGGTCTGCTTGGAGACAGACCTGCCTGTTGTGCTGCCATGCTAAAATGAAAGGCTGAATACCCTTTTGCTGCCAAACAGTTTTATGATATTTATATTACACTAGAGTGGTGGTTTTTTTTTTTCCATCTCTCTTCAACAAGGGATTAAGTTGTGAACATTTATAGCTCCAACATTTGCATTCTTCTCTCAGATAGAATGTAAACAGCAGAGTGATGCTGTTTTGGCCAGGAATAGGGGCCAAGCTTTTCTAGATCTGCCGATGTTCGTAATGAAAAGGTTATGTGAATGTATAAGTAAAATGTCCTTTCCATTAACACAGCTCTACTCACCACCTGGAGCTATTCATGCTTCTGAAGAAACAGGAAATGATACCTTAGAGAAGCTGAAATGAACAAACTTGTAACTCCTTTCCTGAACATCAATCATTTCCTATTGCAATAGGTACATTAGCAGGCTGAAAGTATACACTGGTTTTGAGATACTGTGAAGATATTACTGGACAAGTGTCTTTAAAAAAAACCAGAAAGTGCATCTTCAGTCAGTTCAGAGCAAATGAAACCCACCTGAAAACTGCACTTATTTTTTGGATGTTACGACATGTGTCATAATGCCATGCAAATATGGACTTCCACGCTGCATAAAATCGACATTGCGTTGCTTTGCATTTTCAACTTCTTTTGATAAATTCACATAACAGGTATGCTTCTGATAATCATCTATAATTCCACCGAGAGATCAGGCATACAGGAGAGACCAAAACCGTAAAGACTTTTCAAGAGCTGTAATATTCAGCAGCACATCACTCCCATAAAATATTCCAGCTTTAACAGCAAAAACATTGCTTTTCATGAAGAACCATGGACACAATGCAGTTCACATTTTGCAATAAAAAACATTAGCAATGCCTGTTTGGCCTCCTTCTCGTGTGTCTTTGTATGTCCATGAGTAATTCACTTATGTAATATAAACATATCACTACAAAATACAAGCACAGTAATACTGAAAGTCGCAGATAAAAATGAGAGATGCAGTATGCTAGCAGGGTACTAATTAGTTTGGCTCTGCTATCTCAGATAATCCCAAGCCAATTCCAAACCTGTTTCCCTTTTATCTTTTATGTGTGCTACCTTTTCTGATGTTATTGCAGTTTAAAAAATTCAATGTTTAGGCTATCATGGTTTGGACAGGTGCCTAGGAAGGTATTATGGATTAATGATGTATTCATCAATCAATTTTATTATACACACAGTCCTCCACTTGGCTGATTGACACCTGCAGGTATTAATGATGAAATTCTGCTTTCATTTACAGTGGCGACAAAGAGATTCTATTGATAGGAATGAAGACATTTCATGTCCCTAAAGAAAGGAAAATAAGGTCATTATTTGGTTTATGAAAATGTGAAATTTCTTAAATGAAGTATTTAAGTAATGAGTCACCTGTGTGCTTTACAACACCAATTTACAGCATATAGAGTCATTTAGCTATTTTCAGTGCACGTGGATGTAGAAGGGCAGGTAAAAGAAACAAGGGTGTTAAAGTAAGAAAGTCCAACTCTGCGCATGGCTGTCTTTCTAAAAAATTAGGTTGGCCATCTTTGTTTCACTGTGTATGTGTCACCACATAATAATCATTGTCGTCATTAGCAGTTCATGCTCAACCTATGCTTTTAATTTAATTTGCAGTTTGAAAAGTCTCAAATTAAATTCTTTAATTCATTTCCCACTGACCTAAATATAATGCCGGTAGTCATATTTACAACTCACTTTGGGTGGGATCCCACTATAACCTATTAGCTATATGTTAGAAACTGTTTACAGACACCATTAAGAAAATCTGTGTGTATAAGTAACATGATTAAGAAGCTTTCTATATGTGGGGTTTAGAAACTTTAGTGGGGGGAGTGTGTTAATTTTATTCTTTTTCAGGGCAGGTATTGTTTTTATGCTGTATTTTTATGCAGCTAAGTCTTTCAGACCCTAATTTTGATTAGGCACTTTTAGCAATGCCATAATTGTTAACATTAATATAATGCAAACCCATAGCACAGTGTCTGATAGCTCAACTGCCTGAAGTATTTCTGTATCTGCTGTACAACAAATTAGTGCTAAAATAAATTGTGCTAGCTTCAGCCTTTCTTAGAGCACCACAATAGCTATGTAATACATCTTGACGAGGCCAAAAATAAATAATTAAAAATGACAAGAGATCTGATTGACTTGCAGTAGCTATTTTCTGAACCTTGTGATACTGGTTAGCTCGCAACAGCACCAAACAGGTCTCATCCGGAGTCAAGTGCCATCTATGGAGAAAAGATGTACTTGAGCCGAAGCAGCCAAAAATGACAAAAAATGGCACCAGCCTGCCACCTGCTGCTGTACAGAATTACTTCAAGAAACATAATTGCTAGGCCTTGCACTGACTCAACAAAAACAGTCCTGTGTGAACGGGGTTCAGCAAAAGCCTGTCCGTTCTGCAACAGCGTGCTTTCCCCGTGGCATTTCAAAAGTGTTGGGCAAGATTAAAATAATGGGATGTTCTGTGAATTTGAAAATAGGCCACTTAACCTAAGAAGCTGTCTTGGAGGGCTCTAGTACTGTGAAATCTTGGTGTTGCTAACTCAGATGTTTGATGGTCGTGTTCAAGTTTCTGCTCCTGGAAAGGGGCCATGAGCTGAAAACTCAGCTCCTGTTAAAAGCAGCTGCCTAGTCCATGCAGTCGTACAGTTAAAGGCTGGCAAGATCCCAAAGTTCTGAATAGAAACATACCACCAACTACAAAAAAACCCAAATAAAATGACACTATTAGTTTTATGTTCCATGGTTTTGGCAGCGTGAGTTGTTTTTTGAGTGTTGGCTCCCAACAGTGAGATCTAGGTCCCTTATCTGTTTTGAGGAGTGGGAGTTACAGTGTCAAGTACTTTGCTCATATGTGTGAGAGTGAATCTTGGTTCTGGAAAACGCACTTAGCTTCCTAGAGACTACTGTAAGAAGTGAAATGTCCCTAGATGTCACAGTGGATGGGCCAAAACGCTAAGCATACCAATTATAGTGAATAATACGGTGCAGGCAATATAATTCTTCGCTATTCTTCATGGCCTCAGTGTTAAGGGAATGAGTTATTCCTTTACTGACGAGAGCATTGTCGGCAGGTCTTGCACAGCACTGTACTTTCTGGATCGCTGCTCTTCGTAATTCCACACTGGGCACAGCCTGTTCTGTCAAAACGCCCAGACCTCCGGCGTCACCTTGAGACCAGGCGTATGAGAGATACTGCCGTTTTCTTCTGGCAGCCCTCCGTGTACCCGAAGCTGCCCCGTGAGACGCGGGGAGGAGCGAGGAGGGGGAGCCGGCACCGAGGGCAAGACGAGGGGCAGCCAGCTTGACCTAAGAAGGCGTGAGGGAGAAGAACAACCGAGGCGTCTGAGAGACCGGGGAAGCCGGAGAGGCACCGGCAACGCCTCCAACCGCCTGCGCCCTCTCTGAGGGGCGCG